ATTATGTTAAGAAAAAAATTTGAGAAGAATTATTTAATCGTTCTTATTATTTAACAATGGAATTGGCAACATTTTATTATATATAGGTTTGAAATATGAAATATAATAAGCATCGATGATTAAAATTACATTAGTAGATATGATGAAAATAATTAGATATGTATAATTACGTTTCTGTTTTAATGAAAGTTAATATTGATTCTGTCAAGAACACCTGTACACTTTAAATTGCAAAAACAAATAATCTGAAACCTGTTAATTTGACTAGTTAATTGTAATAATAATGTTAATTATACTATATTTTCTACTTCTCTCTCTATTATAATTTATTATATAAATTTTTCATAAAGAACTATAAAAANATATGAAATTCCATTAACGGTTTTTGAAAAATTTCAAATTTCGCATTCTTAAATCTTCTTTTGCAATTATGGATCAATATTATTAATAAAATTTAGCAAAATTTCACAAATTACAAGTTATTTAATTATTTCATTTAATATAAAATTATATAAAAATCTATGATTCATAATGTTTGATGTGTCAAATTATAATGAAATCATACTCTTTAGAGAATACGTATTATTTTTCATAGAAATTTAAAATTTAAAATAACGTTTTTTCATCCTTTTAATATTTTCATATTTTGCTCCAACCTAGTAACCCTATCCGTTTCCATTTCCATGAAATTATTATACTTCCGTGAACGATTCCGATGTAAATATTCATATTGAAATACAGAGAGAGATTTTGTTTTGACTGTTAGCTTTGATATTTTGATAGAAGGAATAAATACAATAATATAAATAACAGCAATAAATAAATTCTGTGTAAAGAATATACACACATAATTTGAAACATATTATAGGGATAATAAAACATTCCGATAATGGAATATTCGAGTGATAAAGAGTTCGAATAATGGATGTTGTAATGATATTTGAGATCTGATTTTACATTTGTTTTTTGTGTAACTCGAAATATTACGTTTCGCTTTTCCTCTAACAAAAACATTTATACTATTATTAATACGAAATGAAGCTTATTACAAAGCCTTATCTTATCACAGAAACTATACGATGCAATGACAATTGCAGCTGATAAAGAATAAAACATTTTGAAGATTACATATTTGAGTGATGTATCATATACAAAAAACAAAAACAAACAGAATTTGATGAAACTTTAAAATATAATGAAAAAAAAAGAACACATTTAAATAATGAGGAAATTATTAGATTCTAAACTAGTAATTAAATATTTTATTAAATATTTTTCGTTTGTATCAATTTAAAATTAACTAAACATTGAATAATACTATAGTGTTATAAATAAATTACTATTGTATTATTATTATACTTGTTACATTGTACTTTTCTCTTACAAATTCTAATTGCAATAATTTTATCTTGTTATCTTCTATCATCTGATCTTGTTTTTAAACAGATAGAATATAATACTGAATACACAAAATATATACAAAAATTATCGCCGCCATATGAGCTATGAATCGTGTAATCGTAAAATTTGAAATAATAATAGGGAATACTATCAGTAACACGGCTTAATAGAAAAGAATAGCTGAAATTATATTATATATAATAGAATAGAATATTATCGATATCGGAAAACAAAAAATATTCCACAAACTTTTTGTCTCGTATTCTTTTTCCTAGTCAAATTCTTTCTCATAAAATAAAACATTCTAGCCAACGTTTAATCCCTTTCTTAACGAACAAGATAAATTTCTTTCATCAATAAATATTAATTCAATAATATTACAATACAATTGAATCTAATTTTCAAAATCCAAAAATTATTTTAAAAATTATAAAATTATTTTGAGGCGAAATGTCCTATTACTCTCAAAAGTGAACCACTTCAGAAACATCACAAGACATGAAAAACATTCATTCAAGTAAAATAAAATAACACCACTGAAGATATTAATTTTCTTTTTTTTAGAATAATTCCAACTCAAACACGTACACGTATCCCTTAAAAGCGTTTTGATCGTGGAATCCTCGATATGCCGGCACAAGTAGCGAAAAAAAAAAAAATGGAACAAACAGATGACACACTCACCGAGGCCGAGCAGATTGTAGCAAAGGCGACACAATAGCCATCGACACCACAGGAAAACCCTCGGTCTGCCGCGTTTCGACGCGACCACGGTCATTGTTTCGCGCTCGCGTTGTTTTTTACTCGGGGATAGTTCCGCCTTAAAGTGTAGCCTATGCCTGATCCACGCATAGAAGAACTGAACGTACTGAAATGGCCCACATATTAAACAGCGGCATATTGCCTGGCCTGATGCATAATGTTGAACCATTGGGAGAGAGCGGTGTAAAGAGAAAAGGAGGAAGAGCGTGTGCACGACGCGGAGGAACAGGGATGGAAGAACGAAGGAACGAGCCCGTATGATTCCCCTACTTGCGAACGAATGAATGACGCCATTCGTTAAATTGCGACTAAGATCCGGATGTGTCGAATATCGAGTGTTTGTCAAGGCTTTGGGAAACGCTGGAATATTTCACCCCCTCGTTGTCGTCACGGATAAGGCAAAAGTAGTATCTCGTTAAGTGTCGCAACGATTCCATAACGAGTAGTTAGATACAACGAGTGTATATGTGAAAATATGTGGATACATGTTTCACAGAAGGATTTCGAGAGATGTGTGTGTGTGTAGAATTATATAAATAGAATTTTGAAATGGATAGATAAAAGTAAATATTTTTGTCACGAGGTGACATAGTATTTTTTAAACTTCTAGTTAAAATGGTAATTACAAATGTATATTTTAAATTAACTTGTAATGAATGGTTAGTATTTTATACTAAGCAATTTAGAGTATCTCATTAAAACAGGAGAAAATAGTATTTCAAATTAATTTAATTTAAAGAATGCTGTGCCAACAGGAAATAGCAACATAGAATACACACATAGAATGAAAAAAAAGACCAGAGCAAACATCGCGTGACTTGTCATTATAAGTTTATGACGCGGTTATTCTCTCTGGAAGCATTTATAAAACGTATTATCGTACTAATATCCTTGTCTCAAAAAATAAAAGAAAAAAAAAACTCGAATCCACGAGAATCCTCTGCGTGTTGAAGAAACTCGCAAAAATTTCGCGACCTCCATTCGAGAAATAGAAAGCAATACAGTCTCACTTACAATCGTTTTTATTTGAATTGAAAATAATTTTCTGTTGAAGAAAAATTCTCCAATTTATAAATCGTTCTTAATTTCTTTCAAGATTAATGCTTACAAGAGAAACGTTATTATACGGTATATAGCGAGAATTATAATTTTTATTTTCTCTGATATATATTTGATATATATTTGCAGGATAAATCGTATAATTTTTTTTTTAAAATGATGAAAAAATAAATGATAAATTATGATTAAAAAAAAAATGATTCTAATTGTAATATAATATAAAAGAAATTCAATCTATAAAGTCATAAAATAGACTTTTAAAAATAGGAAGTAAGATATTCTTTTAAAATCATCGTTATCAATAAGATCTTAATAAGTTAAATTTTCAAAAATATATAAAATTGACAAGTTCATGAAGTTTTGTAAAAAATTAAATGAAGAGTATTATGATATTTTTTTGACGAAACTATTTAATTTCAAATAAAGATATTTTTTAACAACACGATTGACATAATATTATAGCAGAATGTTAATCCTTTGAAATTTATACAGATAATATTTTTGAATTTCATATTCACATAATCATTTTTCGAATAAAATAGAAATTTCAGAAAATAATTTTTAACACAAAGATATTTTACATTTTTTCCAATATATAAGGAAGATTTCATTTTGAAGATTCAATCAATTCTATTGTAAAAGTTATTTATCATCTGTTTCTCATCTTTATTTGAAAGCAATAAACGAAAAGTTTGATTCAAAACTTGGACGAAAAAATCGATATTTAATAAAAATATTTTTAATATTAGTTTCAATGCTATTTCAGATAGTATATAATGATTATGACTAGATGGCTAATGCGTGTTTGAAACACGATATTACCGGAAGACATTTTATGCCAGATCGAACAAGTAATACTAGACTTGTGGTCTCACCGCGGATCTGAGGAAAAATTCTAAGTCAAAGATTGATTGATCCTTGTTCAGTTTTCACTAATGCAGAATCGTTAATTTCAAGCGAAAAATTAAAATAGTTTCTTCGTCGATCTTGAATCAATATTTTTAACATCATATTCTTTCCATCTATAAAAATATTTTACTTTTCTCTTTTTAAAAAATTAAAATTTTTATATTTTTTGTATTAGATGTTAATTATATAATCGTTATTCTCGTGATTTTAATACGTTCAATATATTTCTCGAAATTATTTAACCCTTTTAAGACAGATATTTCTTTTTAACAATAATATTATAATAATATGAAAAAAAATTTTAATGTAAAATGCATATATACAAATAAATAGCCAAATTTCAAAAGTGGCCAATTTAAAAAATAAAAATAATTTATTTTCTTTTAAAATTTTTTAAATTTTTTTAACTATATTTAGAAATTGTTTTGAAAACATGTTAATATAAATTTCCACGAATTATGTTAAATTATAAACTTATTCATAATCTGTACAAGAACCATATTTCTAGCATGCAGATGATTAACAATTAAAACTAATTTTGAGATGGCTATTAAATAATAAAATTTAAATAATTTATCATGAATTTGAATTAAAAATTCAATAATTTACAATAATTAAAAAAAAAAGAGTTAAATTTTAAGTCAAAACTAAAAAACTATTAAATTATTATCTTAGAATGTTAGAAAAATTATAACAATTTTCTGATCTTTAAAAAAAAATTTTCGTTCTATTAATCTCAAAAGGGTTAAAATTACCGGGCATTATAATTACATCTTTCCGGTTCCAATTGTATCAAATCATATTGTTAATGAAATATTAAGATATCTGACATTATTAGACAGATGATACAACGTCCTTAAGATACTTACCTAGTTATTATTTCGCAGAGCACAAAAATGTGGTGATTACTTCAGATGATTTCTACACGTTGCGATGAGTTCACAACCGCGAAATAAGACACTCTGGTACACAACTACACTGCCCACCGACTTCAGAAGTGGTTTCTTCCTGGATAAAAATGCATTGTTAGTACAAAGTGTATCAGAATTCATCTTCGATATTATACAAAATATTAGAAAGATTTAAGAAACGATAATATTTTGCTTTTATGAATCTTTTATTTAATATTAATATTTTTTTATTAAATATTGTGTATAAAAGAGTTAAAAATGATTATGAAAATTTATATTTAATTAGAATTTAAATTGATTAAATATAATTTTTGAAAAATCAGATAATTAATTTTGATAGAATTGAATTTGGTTTGCTTTCTATGTAACTCGTATTGACATTTTTGCGAATAAAATTATCCTAAGTTTTATCTTTTTTTTATTTCTTCATTTTATTATTTTATGTTATTCTTAACACTAGAAATATCAACTTTTCGTATTTATCCACGAATAATTACATTTCTATTTTAATAAAAGTCAATTAATATTAATATTATAAATTATAATTTCTTAAAATTAACGAAATACTTTATCAAATTATCTAACATTTTTCGATATTATGTTGTGACCAAGATTTTTATTTAAAATAATAATTAAATTTATTCGTAATATTTATATCTCTCATGCAAAATATGAAAAGAAAAATATATAATTTCAAAATAAAATAAATTTTATTTATATAAAATACAATAGTATAATTTTCTATTGTATCTTATTAATTTTCCTCTACATCAATTTATTTACAACGATCATTAGCTTCCAAGCTTTCAAATTTAAAAATTATCATCAATTAAAACTCTTCCTCCTCGCGAGTAAGGAAAAAAATTCTACTCATAAAGAATCAACGAAATTAAAAAAAACACTCGAGGACCACTCGAGGGAACGATCGCTCCAATTTTTTCCTCCCAGGTGAAGCAATTTAACCGTACACGTTACAACGAGGAAGGGTCGTTGCACTATTAACTCGGTACGCCTTAGTTTTGTCTAGATACTCGGCTTCTTGACCCTACTTTGCATCACGTGCCAACCGGGATCGGGTACCATTTATCCACTCCAACCGGTTGCCGATGCTGTAATTCAAACCGCTTCGAGGGTTGCCATTGTTAGAGAACAGAGACATCAGTGTTGCCTTTGAAGTTAGCGTAAATAATAAACGTTTTACTAGGAACTAAAAATACTTTGTCTATCATCAGAGATGTAGATTCTCTCTGTATAATTTATGTATTCTAAGATTGGTCGAACGATTGAAAATTATCGTGGAGATACAAACTCAAGGAGTAATTACACGATCACCTATTTATAAATGGTACAAGAAATATGGGCGGGAGATTGGTTTAAATGTCAATTAGTAGTACCGATTGATTTAATAACAAACAATTATTGTTAAGGTATGCTGTATGCTGGCAACGTTCTGCTTATCGCTAGGGAATGGATTCTGATTCTAATTCTGATTTAAGTCTTTTTAAATTTTTATATATTCTCAACGTGTTTTTAGAAATTGTATATATATGTTTAATATTTATATAATGTAATATAATTGTATAATATTTATATATTAGGATTGAATCTAGAAATGAAAATAAATAGAAATGAAAATAAAGTTGGTATGACGATTGAGGCTTATATATTATTTAAGTTATATAATTGAAGTTAAATGAAGATGGAAATAGAGAATAACTCTAAATTAAGGATTTAAACTTAATTATAATTTGTATGTTTTGATCTTTAAAATTGACTCTACAGAGATATATTAATATTAAAATATATTAATATATATTTCATAAATATTCTTATAAATATATAATTTTGTTTTTTATATATATGTTTTAATGTATGCTTATTTTAGAATGCTATATTATTGTGTTATATTATTATTATGCATAATTATATTTTTATTAAAATCCTTTTTATATTATAACAGTATTAATACTTCATTTTATATGAATTTGTTAAGGAATAAGCAGTGTAATCAGGTTGTTAATTTATTGCAACGATAATATAAAAATTAAAATTATAGGGAAGATAAGTTAAATTCTAGTTTAAAATTTAAAATATTTATGTTTAATTTTCCTATAATAACACATCGCATTAAAATTTCGAATTAAAAATTTAATATTTGAAAATTCATTTAAATAATAATCTCGAATAAATATAATATTTTTAAAATTATTATAGAAAAAAACTCCAAATATTTTATTATTAGAAATGCATAATAAATGCATTGTAAAAGATTAGCTAATTCTTCCTACTTTAATTAGTAAGAGCTCATGTTCATATGAAAGAGTTTCACAATTTTAAACTTAACTCTAAAATATATAATAATATATCACATATTACAAATAATAGATAAAAAACATTTTCAATTATACTACAGTTATATAAAAACGTTCATTTATAATAATATGTGACTCCAAATAATAAATTAGAATAATATTAAAATTAAATTATTAAAATTATTAAAATTAAAAAAAACTATTAAAATTTTGTTCATATAAAAGAAGTTACACTATACATTCTTTATCTGCAAAAATTAATTTACAAGTTAAAAAAATTATTCTATAGAACCAACATAATATTTTCATACATATTGTTCATTTAAATATGTATTATGTATGCATAAAAATCCACGATCTACTAAGTAAATTTTCGAAACTTGCAACTACTTGCATTTCAAAATTGAAAACGAACTTGATGATCAAATATTTCAAATATCTATAAAAATAAATACAACGAATAAATTATATATATATATATATAAATAAATTATATATTACTTAAATGAATCATTTGTATTGTAGGATTTATAACTTTAACGTATCAAACTTGATCCTACCATTATTCCCACCAGGACTTTTGAGAAAAGATTTTCCACCCCAGACAAGACTATATATACGAAAGTCTAAATGCACCTGAAAATTATATCTTACATATTTCCCTGCATTCAACGATCCCTTTTTTTTTTATCAGAACACGTGGGAAAAGGGGGATGAAAGATCGGATGGCATTTATCCGTTCTATCCATTGGCAACATCGTAATTCAAGCCTCAGTGTGGAGGGTAACCATTGTCAACGGAGAAAGATATCAGTGACAGTGAGTTTAGTAGTACTTAGTAGCAAGCCTATCAAAAGGGCGAAGCCATTCCGAGCCATACGGTGATACGTATTGTCCGTAAACGTGCCTTTTGTACTCCAATTGAACCACGAATGGATCATCTGCGTCAAGGTACGACGCATTCCAGACCTTCCCTTTTGTTTACCACGGATAAGGACGAGCAGAAAAAGGTATACAGATACAAGGATATACAGATACAAATTCTCGACTTTTTGCATGCTTGTTTCCTATATTGATACAGACAGATGAAAAACAATAATACAAACTTTATGTCTAATTTATTTTTTTTTTTTTTGTTTTCTTTATCTCGATAGATTCTTTGAATTCGATCCTTTGGTTTGAAATAACAATGTTTTTGAAATTATAATAAGAAGTAATTAAAGATTAATATTGGAATGTTTTGTTGATCGAACGTTGGATTATTTAAGGAGATTATAATTTAACGAGATATATTTATTACAGAGATGTAGTCTTTCTGTAGAATTTTCAATGAGAATCAATGAAATACAAGTTTAATCCATTCTTTACCATACTATTGATTATTTAATCTTTTAATTTTGATAATAAAAAGATTTCAATCAAAAAAAAATGAAAAAGATTATATTTTTGTTGTTTTTTAACTTTTAAACAATTTTAAACATTCACGAATATTTTTATATGAACCTATTCATATTTCTATTAAATATAAAAACTGAAAATAAGTTTCAATGAATGAAAAAGATAATTAGAACATTATTTCTTTTTCAAACGAAGAAAAATCCTATATCTCGAGTACTTTGTAGATTACAAATCTAGATCAGTAGATCAACACATTTAATTTATGTTAAATTATATTAAATTTGTATTAGATTTCAATTTCTCTTCATTTTATACAAAAATAAATAAAAATATATTTTTCCATCTAATTGAAATTTGTTTTAATAATAAATAATTAATAATAAATTGTAAAATTGGAAAAAATCACTAAACTGAATATTTATTTCAATTATTTTTCATTCACTACTAATGACTTTAAGTGCAGTAAAGTTCATTAATAAAATTTTATTATACATATATCCTCTTCTTTATTTAATTGAGAAACCTGATCAATTAATACAAAACTAATAGTGTATAATGTTATGATTAACAATATAATAGGTAGCAAGGAATCATATTTTTAATATTTCTGATTAAAAAAATAATACGAAAACATTAAAAAATATGAAGATGAAAAAAGAATGAATAAAATAAATATAAATGTATTAACAAAATTATAATCATAATGTTTCTTATGTTAAAAATATGTTATTTATCTAAAAACACATGATATTTATAAATTGAAATATGCCAATTGTTTTGATCTTTAATGAATTTTTTTGAAATGAAATATGAAATAAGTTATTGTTTTATTATCTGAATTCTCATATCTCCTTATTAATATGAAAGATTCTACTGTATTGATATTCGTTTCGTAACAAGTTAGATATTGGTTTCTCCTTATTTTCTTTCTCTTTTTCTTTTTATTTATTTATTTTTTTTTTATTTCTTTTATTTGAAAGAAAAAAAAATAAATACCTCAATTTTTCAAACTATAATGACATGAAAATATTCTACGTAATAATTTGTATTTTTTTTTTAGCACGCAACGCAAGAGAATTATTTTCTTTTTCATTTTTAATTTGAAAAAAAAGTAGAATGAATCGGTAATATTTTCCGAATTACAGCGAAAATGAAAATATTTTTCATAACAATACATTTTTTTGATTCGAAATACGAGAGAATCATTTTCTTTTTCTATTTCTTTTTTTTTTTTTTTTTAAAGATAGAATGAAAAATGTCAGTAATATTTTCTAAACTGCGATATTTTCTCAAATGAAAATGTTCTTCGTGTGTTTTGTTTTTCTATATACATCATGGAGTAATTTTTTATTCGAATAAAATAGAATAAACGAGAATAGTATTTTTGA